GGCATCACAGCTTGGTTTTCACAGTGTCTGTGCTCACAGCACATATTCACAGTTATTTAATACACTCTTACACTATCTTACCCTCAGACTTTCCACAATACTCAGTAGATCTGTGGATGTAATTATTATTTCTGTCAATGGAATGTATTAAAGGAACATAAAAGGGGCCATGAAGAACCATGATGCTGCTTGGAGACAGAAGTCTTGCCCAGGGTGAGCAGCTTTCATTAGAGGGAGCAGGAAGTGCAAACATGATGTCAGAGCTACAGAGATTATATGTATAAATGGTGTTATCATTTAACCCAAACAAACTGCAGGGAAAGGCTCACCCCCTCCCTTTGAAGACAATGGACAGTTACTAAATTGGACTTGTAATGAAAGCCATTTTCAGTGCAACACAAGATATGTGCAACAGTTGGTCCAGGAATGAAAATCTGTTCTAACAGCCAAAAGTCAAAGGCAGCTATAAATACAGGCCTTAATCTTTTCAAGAATCCCTTAACGAAGCCTATAAAACTGATTGTATCTTCAGGCCTAACTCAAGTGCAAATTCTTTCTCAGAAAAATGTAACAGCCCTGCAAGTATGACTTGGAGAGCAGTACAGAGACAAGGAAAGAGTATACAGAGTGCTGGTTTGAATGCTCACATCTTGGAATACAAACGACATTGCATTTAGAATAAACAATTAATGAGACAGCAGAAGCCTCAGCTACAGGTCCATTTTTCTGAGAGAGAAACAATTTCCAGAAGCGGTCAGAGCGGGATGCAGAAGCACTGCATCTTTCCTTTTAACACAACAGAAATGCTCTTTGATTATTTAAAAGCCAATTGCAAAGATCTGTCTTCAAAACCTCCTATTGCAGGTTTAATAGCAAAGAGGTGCAAGTACACTTACCAGCAACACGGGAGTAAAGTACAGACTTTTGTTTTAACAAAATCTATATTTATACGATTACATTTCCTATGGTTGAGGGCAGCTGTAATTAATGGATTTCCCTCCTTCCCCTAATGCAGTCATTTGTCAATTTAAACACAGAATGCCCAATCAATTTTGATGTATTTAGTAAGCAATTTGTCAGAGTACTGCACACCAGTTAATATATTAATTCTTGTCACTGGCCCACTTCTGACAACTGTAGGCCATGTCCATGAAATTGGTCCTGATGAGCCAAAACTCTTGCCTGGAATGTGAAGGTGCTCTTTGCAAAGACAGAGAAGAGAAATCAGATCTCAATTATTCAATCCCTTTTTGGGGCAGTTTTTGGTCAATTTTAGGGGGTTTATTTATTAATGTGTTAATTGGCCACATTTCAGATATTGCATCTACTGTGCAATAGAAAATTGAATTCAGAGTGGAGAGATAAAGAAGAAAGGAAATAAATATAAAATGAGGATGTCAGACTTTCTGGTGATGCAGAGTTACTTATTCCCATGGCAATTCCATTATGTGCCATGAACGTGACTGTTCAAACATGTAAAAAACATGTGAAAGAAATCACACAAAGGAAACAAGGAATAAGTCAGTCAAATATACAAAACTTCAGGGCCTGATAAAAGAGAGGAAAGAATTAATTTGAAAGAAACGCAGCCAGGGGATTGTCATGGACATGGAAAGCACATCTTAACAGCATCCTCAAGAGTTTATACAACCCAAAGCACCTTAATTCTTAAGTACCAAACAGCAGGAAGAAGGCAGGATTTAAAGAGTAATTAATGACAAAACCTGGCAATTCTGTGAGGAAAGCTTAAACATTGCAAGTTCCTGTGGACACCAAAACCCTCCAGTGCACACGTGCAGTACTTGGCACAACTCTCCTCCCTGCCAGGCCTGCTAGGACACTTTACACCACATGATGCTATTTATGTTATAGCAAAAACATCTAGGAAGAAGAAAACGTGACTCAGATTTCCTTCTGTTGTGATTAGATTTGGAAGTTGCTCAGGACAGGTGAATAAAGAGGGAATATCAGAGACACAAATAAGATAGAATATTATGTAGTAAATGTGAGGAGTGTAGACAAATATCTGGTACCTAAAACCCAGCACTGAAAACCAGAGTATTGTAATTAATCCAGGGGTTTGTGGGATGGACTCACGGGAACAAGTGAGCCTGGAATCTGCTCTGTCAGAAGGAGCTCTCAGGACTGGTGATATTCTCTCTGAACTGCTGCAGAGTTTGGATCAGGATCCTGACACTTCCTGCAGGCCAGCAGGTTGTGGAATTTAACATGCAAGTTCACTTTCAAGCCATGAACTTACAGAAAGCTATAAATCCCTCACTTCCCACGTTCTCACCTGTGCAGCAGCCTGAGCTGTGGTAACATGCTCAGGTAGACATGAGCTGCACACACTGATGCAGGTTTCTGTAGCAGATGTCACAGATGACCTCAAAGCAAGGAAACAGCTGTGCTGATCCACTTACAAATACCCTTGGGATAAAGGTCTTGGACACTTGTTGTACAAAACATTTCTTCAAACAATGGTTCCTTGTTCCTTCCTTTCTAGCTGCAAATAAAACTTTCAGATTCTTTAAAAATATTAAAAGCTGAACCGTGTGTCGATAACCTAACACAGGATTTTTTGAATATTCTCTGTTAAGCACAAGAAGTCATCGGCGTGGTTTATATTTTTCAAAGACTAAGGAAGATTTTGGCCCTGTGTTTTGGCATCAAACCTCTTATTTATGAAAACCTGGCCGTGCAGCCCTCCAAGCAGCCTGCCAGACGTCTCATTGTTCTGCCCGGCTGCTGACAGAGGTACTCTGTGCTAAAAAGCACACAGGGTTTTTCAATGACCCAGGGGGCAAAGGTCACTTATTATAAATGGATAATGAGACCTAATGCAATGTTCTGAGTGTGGACAAAGAAAGGGTCTATCCATACCCCCTTGTGACTTGGTCATTGAGGCTTTTATTTCCCCTGCACACTTAATGGAGCCAAACAATCGGCAGCAATGCTATAGAGAAACGGAGAGAACTGCTGCATTCTACCTCCAGAGACAGCTCCAAAGAGTGACCCTGACCGGCGCCACGGCTCTCTCAGCACTGACGTGGCAGACAGATGGACCAGCCCCCCTCAGCCCCACCGAGCCATTTGCTGGCAATTAGAGCCCCCCACGGAAGGCACAGCACAGCTAAGCCAGGCTGCAGCTAAAGCCAGCCCAGGGTAGAGCTGCAGGTAAGGACAGCCACGGAGCTGAGCTCAGCAGCTCTCTAACAGGTGGCTTTTGTGGGAAAGCTGCTTGGATTCCATTGTCAGGGACTTCACTGAGGAGCTTCAGTCTGAATAAATCAAACAAAAGTTCAAAGACAATCAGACACAAATTTCTCTGTTATTACCATTTGCATTATGTCCTCTAGACCCTCTGCTGTCTTTAGCGGTTATTATTCTATTATTCTTTCTATTTCACATCCAGCTTAAAGAATTCCTAATACAGGAATTAAAATCTGAGTTAAAAGTCTTATAATTCAAATAACACAAGTTCTTTAATTGGCCATGTTTCAGATATTGCATCTACCGTGCAATGGAAAAATGAATTCAAAGTGGAGAGATAAGGAAAAAAGGAAATAAACATGAAATGAGGAGTCAGACTTTCTGGTGATGCAGAATTACCTATTTCCATGGCAATTCCATTATGTGCCATGAACAGGACTGTGTGAATTCAAACATGCAAACAACATGTGAAAGGTATGTAAGTCACACAAAGGAAATAAAGGATAATTCAATCAAATATACAAAACCCCTTTAAGTTCATTAATTTGCTGGAATTTAGCTTCTACTTATTCTTCTTTCTTTAAAAAGTTTTCAGTACTAAACCATTTGAAATGTGTATTTGTACTCATATGAATACTCTACTGTGTAACAGTATTTGAGCTGTTAATAAAATGTTAATAAAATACAAAAAAATGAGCCCCATCCATCCCTGGTTTCACTCTGTGGGATAAAAGTGAAACAAGGCAGGAATCTAGCAAAAAAAAAATCCAGCCAAAATGCAAATCTAATGGTGCTGTACACTACTAAATATATTTTCATATTCTTTTGCACCCTTAGAGTGTTATCCCGATTTTCTGTGCAGCACAGAAGAAGGAAGACTCAAACTCTGCAGCTTTCCATAACACTCAGATGCAGCAGATGGACAGGTAGAAGCAGCAGATCCAATCTGGCACCAGTGTCCCTTTCACCAGTCCCATCCAAAGTGCCTCCTGGCCCACATGGCCACTTGGTGCATCTAAAGTGCCCCTGTCACATAAAACTGCCTGCACTGACAACTGTGCACAGCTCTGGTTTCCCCAGGAGAACCTCAGCAGATGCCAGGAGCTGCTCCCTTGTGAGACTTCAACTGCTACAACACTTTGATCCTAGACAGAACAGAGACTTACTCCTCACTGTTACTACTCTCCTCACTTTTAAATTGTCAAATAAACTCATTTTTCTACAGAACCATTATAAAAATGTGTGGGTTCGTGTATAGATACATCATATATAGAGAGCTATAGGTGTATGAATGTTTCTGAATATGCCATGCCATGAAATATTGGCTCTCTGAGAATTAATTATGTGGCTGGGCAAGACACAGGCCAAGGCAGGTGGGCAAGCATCCCTGGCAGCAGTGCCAAGGCTCCTGAGGGAGGCAGCTGTCTGAGGCTGTGGCTGGAAGGAACCCAGCAACCAGGAGTTCCCAAGGAGGGGGAAATGCAGATGCACTCATTACTGGGTATGGAATTCACAGGAGGAAATGGCCAAAAGCATGAGTGGGAATGAGGTGAGGAAACCTTGAAGATTTCATGGGATCTGGTGGGTGACTCTCACAGCATCACAACTCTGATTCATGGCAAAAATCCCAACACTACATTCACTGCTCCATCCTTACTAACACAGTTACACACAACCCTACTGTGGGGTTGGACATCCACTAAAATTGGCTGAAAAATCAACTTGGAAAATCACCCTCTGCTGAAAACGTGCACATGAGACAAGACAAGAAGTTGTCAGCTACTCACAGCCAGCCAGAAGATACTGGTAGTACTGCACAGCATCTGCAGCCAGGAGCAGTGGATGGTTTGCATTAAATGGTGGTTGGAGTTCATTCCACTGAGGAGTTCTGAGGTAAAACACAAGACTATTAATATTTCAGCTAATACAGAGAATGTAAATCAGTGTTTCTGTCATCACATGCAATTATCTATACAAGCTCACAAAATGTTTGTAATTATTTAAATTAGCTTGTTCAAACACTGCAATCCACCACAGGCAGTGGAACAGCAGGGCCAAAACGTGTGGATTGTGAGGCAAAGACAATACTTGGTTGTGGACTGCAGCAGGGATTGCATTAAAAAAAACCCAGGAAGGAGGTTTAGATTAAGTTGGTAAATATGTTTAGGACCATTGTATGTCATGCTGACGTTATATAAACACACAAGAGAAACTGGGGAACTTTTTTGTTCTGTTAACTACCACTGCTTCCATCCTGTGAAGTCATTGAGCACTTACTGTGAAAATAAAGCTGTGTAAAGTTATGGATTATTGATCCAATTAGAATTTTCAATTCCATTACAACCTACTCATTTCAACAATAATGGTCCCGAAGTCTGTGTTGTAATTTTAATTAGGGTGGGCCATTCCTAAATAGCTTGGTAAATCAAGTATTGATCACTCCAGTGCAGCCATAAGCAGCACTAAGGAATGTAGGAGCCAAGAAAAATCGATAGAAAAATATTTTAAAACGTCAAAAGCACTGACAACACTTTCTCATCAATTTTTCTTTACTTTCTTCCACATGTCAGGAATAATTTCTTCTACTGTCTTTGGAAATGGTACCTTCAGCTACTCACAGGAAAACTCACAATGCTTCATCATGGGAACCTTGCTCATGTCTCACAGCAGAATTCTGTACTTCAACACTACGAAAATAATCGTTCCTAGCCCTTATAGAAAAAGAAAATTACAACCTGATCATTTAAAATCACCAATTGATAAGGATCTCTATTGATTCACAGATATGTTCATGCCTAGCTCCACGTGTAGAGAAGGATTTAGAAGCTTAGCTCCCACTGAGGCACATGAACAGTGACAGGACTGTATGGAAATCAAGGCTTCAATCTCTCTCCTTCAACAGCAAACTTTGTGAGTTTTTACATGAGTGACAATCACCGTGCAGCTCATTCAAAAAGAAAGATCCCAAACACGAAAGGAAGGAGAAGTCCCAGGGATGAGGTACCTGACCAAAGCCCAGCTGGCCCTGGGGCAGGTGACCATCTCCAGGGGGGTGTCGTCGCTGATCTTGGGCGCGGTGCTGAGCGGCCGCGGCTCCAGGACGTGCTCCACCAGGCTCCCGTAGCAGCTGATGATGTACAGGGACTCCACCACAAACTGCTTGGACTGATCTGGGGGCAAACAGAGAGAAAAATCTTATTGCAACAGCACAGCAGCAACAGAGAAAGCTCCTACAGAAATAGCAGGCTCTGTGTTCTTTTAAATCTCTTGCTTGCAGCTAAAAAGGTGAATAAAAAGTAGGAAAAGGGCTGAGGAGACAAAGAGAAAATTGTACAGAACACACAATTTTCACACAATAGTATGAATATCTCACACAAGAGAAGTTTCTCACCAAGGTGTGTTCAGGTGATTACACATTTCCAAACATTTCTTGTACATTTGCTTTAGCAAAGGTGTTTCATCTTTATCTCATATTTCTTTCAGTGCCACTTCACACAGTACCTTTGGACTGGCCTATCAAAGTTGGGTTTCTGTCACTGTATTGTAATAAAAGATCAATTATTCATTTCACTAATTAAAATTTCTTGTACATTTTCATTTTACCAAAAGCACCGAAGCATGTGCCTAAAATTCTCGATTGCCCCTGAGTTTAAGGAACAAAATCCACAAATTGCTTAGAACCTGTCACAAAATAAGAATTTAATTTAAATGCAAGGCCTAATTCTATGAGGTACCAACCTTTTTCTCGTTTGAGACCGGAATTGTTTGCAAACCATGACCTGGAAGCTCCAAAGACTGCAGCGACACAAAACTCCCCTCCCACAGACTTACTGGGTGAAATCTGTGGAGCTGGCTTGGATTTGCTTTAAAGAAAGAACAAAATAAAAATTATAGACGTTAATTCTCAAAAAATTAAGATGTCTCTTGCTTAACAACAATTTTAAGAAATTACTTCAGAAAAGGGGAATATCTGCAGTTCCTACACGGCTGAGCAGGATTTAGAGATGCTTAGTGTTTCCCAATAACAGGTCCAAAATTCCCCTGGAATACTGAACTCATTCACTTGAAGAACAGAACAAATTAATTGTTTAAAAGACCCAATACTGAACATTTGCATTAAATAGCAACAACTTCTGAAATAAATACAAAGAAATCCTAAATCCTTTGGGAATGAAAATACAGATTCTGGCTCAGCCACTCCAGGTGCTGGATATTTCCTTGTCTTCTCCAGAGGAAGTCAGGAACACCCAGGGGATCTGAGGGACACAGGGGGGCAGGGGAGGGCATGCAGAGGGCACAGGGAGAGGCAAAGGATGCACACACTCATGAGCCACTGTTAGAACACAGCAGGAATTCTAGCATGGAAAAGCAGACTGACACACTGACCCCATGATGTGCATGGAGCAGATCCAGGGCTGTGAGGATGTTTATTGAGACATTCTGAGGTGTTTCTCCTGACAAAACTATGGGCAGAACATTGTCCATGCCTCAATTCATTAAATCAGGATTTCACCCTTTCTTTAAGATAAAAGCTGCTTAACAAAACCACACAGGATTTTTCTTTCTTCATATCCTCCTTGTTCTAGACCTTTTAATTGTGAATTCTTTTATATTTTTCTCTTCACACTGTTTCACTGCTCCCTTTTCTTCCTACCCACCCCTCCTTTCCATTTTTCTTCTACTGATTTCTTCTTCCACACAATTTCAGCCTGTGATCAGACCATCCCATTAACCTGTTTTTTACACAACAATCTCCAGTTCTGAGAAGCGTGAGTATAGGTGCATGGAATTCAGCACTAGAAGAATATTTTTAAACAGCAGAAATCCATTAAAACACGGTATGGTTATAATGATATTTAATTCATACTAACAGATGATATACATGGCAAGCCCATGGTCACATGGACTTGGATCAGAGCTGAAACTCTTGTACATGTGGGAGAAGCTGGAATGTCCCAAAAGAGCAGTTGGAATTTATAGTCAGTAACTCTGGTATTGAACCACCACAAAGCACTTAATATCCAACTGTTAAACCTACAGCTACAGATGACTGGGTCAGAAATCTGTGTTCCAAAAAGGTTCTGAATATAAATGTATTCCCTTGCTTGCTGTGGCACAGCATTTTTCTATATTAGAATATTTAAGTTGTGATTGTGTTAACTAGTAAGTTTTTATTAGGTACTCGGAAAAAAAATCAGAATGTATTTCTTTCACTTTGAAATAATCATCTATCACAGAAAGAGTATTTTTAACCTGATTGTATATTGAGAATTATTTTAGCTCTCACTTTTCAAGTATTCACATAACTATATTCCTTCAGGAATGAAAATATAAATGTATCAGTGAATTGCTGCTTACTTCAATTAAAAAATGATTGGGTTTAATACAGAATTCAGGACAGTGTCACCCATCAATCACCACAAAGCAAACCAGAAGCACAGGTATGACTCTGCCATATTCACTTCCTCTTGACAGAAGTATTTTTCCATCCTGTCCTAATATTCTTAATATTCTCAATTTTTACTGAACGAATTCTGAGGTTATGAAAATGATTTTTCAAGGTTAATAAAGTAATTTAAAATGGAAAAAAATAATTTGAAACAACTGCTATTCTCAGCTACAAACTGGAGTAAAGTTCTACAGAGACAGAAGTGCCTTCAAGCCTTGAAGCAGAACCTGGGACTCAACACATTTTTCCAGAGTTCTCCACACTCTGAGTCCCCAACCCTGTGTTCAAACAAATACAATTATAAACAGCCTTAGAGGAAATGGTCTGAGCTCAGTTCTATTTACATCTTGTCTTTAGGATGTGCATCTTTCAAGGCAAGCACTTAAGTGTTGGTTTCAGTGCCAGCAGCTTTTCCCTTCGAGGATGATGTTTTGTAGACAGAAAGAGCAGACCTTGTAAAACAAGATTACTCATGTGGTTAAACTCAGCCCTGCTAGCAAACAAAGACAAGCAAACAAACAAAAAAGATTTGTGCATCTTATTGGTTTGGACAGATTTCTGAAAATGCTGCTGAGATGTCAACAAGTCTATTCTGAAGTCTCTTGTAGCTGAGGAATCTTTTGTTTGAGCATCATTTTACTCGATTCCTGAGTTTTCATCGATACGTTCCAACACAAATTTCATTCCTTCAGCAAACCTCCAAAGCTCAGTTATTTTCAGTAACAGTAATGTCATTAGAAAAATATCTTTACATGTCATTGTGATATTTTAACAACTTGGAAACTATAAATCCTCATTATTCTGCAGATGCAAACGCCCTCTCAGCTTTATAAATGATAACAAAACAATAATGTTGAAGGTAGGTGGTGAATGACTTGTTTCTGCTATGAACTCCTGCTCTTGCCTTGCTCTTGGCTTGTCAGCACTTCATAAATTCTTCCAAGAGCTGAAATTTAGGCACATTTGGCCTCACTTTTACAAAACAGTTACTTTAAAAGAAATCTAATACAGTAACTTCCAAAAGGTGGTACCATAGTTTTCTGGAGAAGGGATGCAGCAATAAATTCAGACTTTTGGGAGTCAATGCTAAAACCAAGACAGTGAAGCACATGGGACCAAAACATTCCCCATTACAATTTCACTCCTCACTTCTCCCAACCCCTAGGAACAAGAGCATTGCATTGAAGACACCAGGAGGATGAAAAGGCAGTTTAGTTAACTTTTCCCTCTCTGGATCTACTCCACTGTGCAACCATACCTGGGATTCAGTGAGACACAGCAGTAGTTCTACCCCAATTATATCTGTACAGAAATCTCTATCAGGATTAGAATGTATCTAGGGAAATTTGAATTATTATTTAATGTTCTCACATTATTTTGGAGGATTATTTCTATCTCAAATGCCAAAGCACCAAGATGTAGATACAGACATGGCCAACTGATATTTTCTACTGAAATGGCACAAAAGGAGATGGGAGGAAACTGAAGAGAATGAAGACATCACTTTGTCAGAGCTTAAAAAGCAATGAAGAGACTGAGCTCAGCATGCAAGTTCTTTCATGTTGCCAACACAGTAAAAACAGATTAAGACCTACTGAATCCATTCAGAGCTCCCACTTGTCAACTCTGTAACGCATCAAACTCTGCCATAATCTCTGGCAATGTGGTAGCTCTTTGTAAAAATACTAAATAGTTACTAATATTTTAATAAATATTTATTTATTTAACTAGTTAAATATTATTATTTAACTAGTAAGAATTAATACTTTTAAAATATTTTGACAACCAGTGGCTGCATAGTTCGTGATGGAGCTTTATGTCTCACAAAATTCTTCTGGCTCTTAAATGTATCTTTAAATCCATTGTCAAACAAGTGACATGACTTTAAAACAATAAATAAATTGCATATATGTGATAAGAAGGAGCTGCCTTATATATTTAAATATTTATAGTCAAATAGTACCAGTCTGCAAAGATTGAAAACCACTTTGATTTTATGCTCCCAACAAATAGGCTCCGAATATATGAGATTCATAAAAACAAAAGCACTTATTCCACACTAAACCCACTGAAATGGAAACATCTATGACTGCTGATGGAAAAAGTTTTATCTTGACTACATAAGCAGCAACAAAAGTATCAGGAGACAAATACTGCATGAGATTTGCAATTACACATAAAATTACAAAAAAAATAAATCTGTCTCAAAGTCCAGAAATTTTACTTCATTTATCATTGTACCTAAAACATGAAAACAAAGATGTTTCCAGTTGTCAGATCATGAATAAAGCAAAGAAAAGCACGAAATGCAATGGTAGGATCCTTTATTCACCAGGCACTTAGCTGTCAAATCAACATCCATTTTGTTTACAGAATTTTAGGTCTCATTAAGACCTTAATGGAAACAACATGATTTCTTCCCCCACCCAAAGTGTGTTTTTTATCCTAATTTCTCTGTAGATGAGTAAGGACCATATTTTTGAGCTAGCACTGGCATTAAACAAACCACAAAAAGAATCTTGTGAAAGACAGGCAACAATTTTGGAGCCTATTTCATATATTCCCCTCTTTAATCTCAGTCTTTTAATCTTACTTCAATCTAAAAACATTTCTGGTTGACGACATCTCCTGCTTCATGCAGGGGTGACCCACACAGCCTTTGCTCAGAAATCCACTGCCAAAACTCTTCTTCCAGAGCCTCTGCACTTCTTAGATCACCACCAGGCAAAATTCTTTGGTGCACCATAAACTGCATTTAGAAATGGTTCTTAGGGAGGTACTTCAGGAATTAGAAGTTCTCCATGAATAAGGCTATGTTCCCTTCCCTTCCCTTCCCTTCCCTTCCCTTCCCTTCCCTTCCCTTCCCTTCCCTTCCCTTCCCTTCCCTTCCCTTCCCTTCCCTTCCCTTCCCTTCCCTTCCCTTCCCTTCCCTTCCCTTCCCTTCCCTTCCCTTCCCTTCCCTTCCCTTCCCTTCCCTTCCCTTCCCTTCCCTTCCCTTCCCTTCCCTTCCCTTCCCTTCCCTTCCCTTCCCTTCCCTTCCCTTTCCCCTTTTTTTCCCTTTCCCTTCTTCCTCCCTCTCTCTCCCCCTCCCCGCTCTTTGCTTCTCCTGGCACAGCTCCCAAATCCCTCCTCAGCCTTTCTCTGGGAATTCTGTGTCCTACAAAGCTCTTAACAAGTTCTTTTCCTGAAGAGAATATTCTGATAGAGACATTGAAGGTGATACACGGGGTGCCAACTTGTAGAGCAAAGCCAAGAGCCACGTACAAATATTCTAACAGATACTGGTGGGCACAGTTAATAGATATCCTTAGCTAAATTAAAAACAAAGAGAAAATTCCAAAACCACAGAAAAACCCCAAAAACCCAAGCCCCAGAAAACTTCTTGCTGGAAGTTTTAAAGTTTTCTAGAGGTGTTCCTACTTCTTCCATTCTTATTATCCACAACTTCCAGCATCTAAGTCCAATCCTGTTAAAAAGTGGTGACTGAGATGATGCAGCACTGCTCAAATACTGAACCAAACTCCAACATCTAAAAACTGTTAAAACTTGCTTTTTCTCTTCTCTGTATTCTTACAATATGCTGCATGTTTTCACATTAAAATGAAATCCCCTTTTATTTCAAATATCCCAGTTTTAACAGAACTGTTTTCCATGTTGGAACAAGATGATCTTGAAGGTCCATTTCACCCCAGACAGTTCCATGATTTTTTTTCTCCAGCATAATCAGCTTTTCTTTTTTTTTTCAGTACCCATTTTACTGCTTCACCTCTCACTGCAGTACTTTACTGCCTACTCACTGCTAATCTGGCTTATTTTTCAGAGGTCATCATCGATGTTTTCTGTCTGTAAGCAACTTAGTGCTACAATAATAAAGGAAGCAATATAGAAAAAAGGAGAGAGGCTTGTTTGGAAAGACATTGCAATCATTTCTGCCCACTTAGAAATAATTTATTTTTTCAACTTCCCTGGTACTTAAAAATTAAATGCACTCTCAAAGGTAAAAAGAAGGGGGGAAAAAAAGTCAATTCAATTCCTTGCAATGCTTGATGGTGAACACGCATCCATAGTTTAAAAGTGAAAATATGTGTGTGGAAACCTATGGATCAGCCATGCAGGTAAACAAATTAAAACGAAAAATTAATCCAAAATTAAAAAGTTTTAGCACAGTTATTTTCAGCAAGGACAGCAAATGGAGTACAGGCATGCTGGGTTTGAACTGGGAACTCACCAAGGAGCTTTTATGGAAAAACATCCTGCTCCAAACAGGTAAGGTCTTCATGGAAAGGGGAAAAATGCACAGAAATTAGATGAGAACTCAATTCCCAACAAGTACACTATACATCATGCTATTAAGATTTATGCAGAAAGTGACCAGAATCGTTGTCAGACCCTCGCTGATGGCCTGGAGGGGCTGCCAGGGGAGCAGCAGAGCCCAGGGCACAGTCCCAGAGCTGGGAGCTGCTGGCAGGGCTCCGCACGCTGGGACACGCCGGGGACATCAGTGCAAGCTGGGCTCAGAGTTAGGGCTGGGGTTAGGCACAGCTCAGGGCCCCCCTCAATCTGCTGCCAAAGCTGGGGCTGCAGCAGGTCCTGAAGTCAGAACTGACAGAAAAAGGGAATTAGCATCCAAATCAGTCATAGGTGAGTGATTTCCACGGAGCACTGAGGGGTTGAGTGGGGCAGTTTTATGAAGTTACTGAGAAGAGGTCAAATAAAACCAATCAGAACCTTTTAGGGACAATTACTCAGCCTTTTGCTAGGACAGAAACACCCCATGAAATTCAACTGTTTCACCCAGAAATCTTCTTTCCCCTTAAAAGCTTGCACAGATGCAGGAAAGAGAGGCCTAACTTACTTCAAGATGCTCAACCAGTAGATCTAGAGCTGAGTGCTTTTGGCCACCCAACAACTTACACCATTATTTGATTTCATGTTTGTTCAAGTATTTTGCACAGTGGAGAGTTTTTAACCCGATATTAATCTGAGGGAATTTTCAATGGATATCTCCCTTTAAAAAGCCATTGCCATAGTGACATTCACATAAAATCTGAAAAGGAGCAAAAGGAAGAAAATTTAGAGCTACTCACAGGCTCAAGGCTTCTTTTGAGTCTCATTTGGGATGTAACATCATCCACAAAATCTCTAAATAATTGATTTTGTAAATGCCAATGGTTCTGTTTTCTTTTCATACTCTGACTCAGCGGTAAGTTCTGGGTAGTTGAAACAGGTGAAATATTTCCAGGCAATGAACTACCAGAAAAGATCCAGCACTGAAGGATGTATAAACACTCAGCCATAGACCAACACAATTAAAAGGATACCAGCCTGATAAAAAATAATTCAGTGAACTAAATCTGTCATGAGCACAACATCAATGAATGAAGGGATCTTCTCAAAAAACATTCAGGTGAAGGTACAAACCTAAGGCACACATTCTTCAACATGCAAAGATGCAAACATCCAATAAAGAACATAATATTACAGAAAAAAACCCTATTTTTATTTACTACTACAGACCAAAAACCCAATGTTTTTGAGCTCCATATAAGAGACTGGCCTTTAACTTCTTGTATTTAATAAATTGGTTGACATTTTTGGGGACAGAGCTGATTTGGAAGAACCAACCACCCTTCTAGACCTAATATATCATCTTTGAACAGTGGTAAAACCCAATTAAATTGTCTGAACTGAATGATCTCCTATAAAGTCAGCACATGCAGTCCCCGAGTCAAAGGCCAGTCTAAGCCCAGCACTATTGCACTGCTTAAATATTTAATTGAAAGCTAAATCTCCTGCATAACCCAAAGCCAACATAATTTAAAATGTAGACTGTATTGAGTGTAAATTTGAAGAGTCATTGGAGAGTGGTCAGATCTGCCTGAGAGCTCAGAATTCAATTTCTAAACTGTGGTCATGGATGTTTTGGACACTCTTTCTTCTTGTCTGCCTCAGTTGCTCTGCCTTCAAACCTCAGGCAAGTAACTCCTAGTTGGGCCCATTAAATATTGCAGAAGATAACACCAAGATTTTCTTCTTCCACAACTGCTATATTGACCTGATGGCACTTGCAAATGAACAAATTCTCTTTATTTTAATTACAAATTGGCCCGGGTGGGCTTCATCTGCAGGTTTGTTCAGTGGGTTTTGGATAGAAAATGGATGAAAATTGATAGAAAATTTTGTATCATGAAGAAAATATAATTACACTTCCAAAGACTACAGCAGAGTCTTATTAAAATGCTTTAAATGTGAGAAAACCAACTTAGTACCTCTTTTCTGTTCAAAAGACCTGATTTCTTTAAAGACAACCATTTTTTCCCTATGATATTTATATAAGCAATTGTTTTCCCCTATTTCCTTCACATAATATGGATGGAATGCTAATTGAGAGCAAGAGAAAAGTCACAAATTAGAGGATAACCCAGCCTTGAAGAGACAGCACCAGATGGCTGCGCTCGGTGACAGCAAGAGAGCAGTGCCAAGGCAAAAACTCACCCAGGTTCCCCTTTCCCAGAATCAGGGAGAAATTCCAAAGGAAATCATGCCATTAAGGTGATTTACCATTCAAAGTTCTGACAGAATTTTCACAGTTTCTTACCTGATTCTGAGTTTTAGCAAATTGAAAACTGAAATACTTTGATTTCATGTTGTTATGTCTAATAAAACTATTTAAGCTTTTAATAAGCTTTGCAATACCCATTTAGTCTAACCCTCATCATGCCAAATCAAGAATCCTTTCATAAACAGTGACACCTGAACAAACTTTAGTGCAAATAATTGTATTTGGCATCAATTACAAATCATTACAACAGTTGCTTTGTTACTAAAATGTATCATAAAAAAGAAAAATTATATAAAATATGTCTGAGAAATGTGCCAGAAAGAGAATGTCTGACTTCAGACAATTGTGCTGAATTCTTTAGCTTTACGGTTTTTTTCTCCACTTTTTCAGTTATTTTTTCTTTATTAATTTTACCATAATGTGGGGATTTTGCACCACTTATTTTTGTTTGCTGCAGTAGCTGACTCCGGGATAAATGAAGCTCCCTGAGACAAAATAAACCCAAGATATATGAGTGACTTTCTGTGCATATAAAATTAAAATGATAAAATTGCATCAGACACTTTACCTACTTCCCCCTTCCTCACTGAGGGCGGAATGAGGGATGGGGTGAAGAAGGGATAGAGTTTCATGTTTAAAAATACACTATCTAAATCTCCTGGCTGGAAAAAAAAGCAAGGTTTATCCCTTTCCTGCAAGGCACACTGGATTTCTGTGTTTTGACCAGACTAAGCTAATGCAGGTTCCATCCTGCTGCTCACTCCAGCAAGGATGAATTTGGGAGTGCAGTATGATACAAATATAATGACCCTGTCCCTTGAGAAATTAAAACAAATGCTGCTGTCAGAGGAGCCAACTCTGACAATAGTTTTTCTTTTGGGGCAATTATTCTATATTTTCCTTCCCTCCTTCCCATTACAGCTCACCCATGTCCCCACTGGAAACTATCTACAGCTCATTCCACAAACGCAGGGAACTCTTATGGAGTTACTGTGGGGCACAAAGCTGAATTCTAGAATGTTCTGAGTCACTGCCTTTTATAGACAACGAGATGGATCACACAGCTCTCCCCCTTTCCAGTCTATAAGCTCTTTGTAAATGAGCAATGAATTAACCCATTCACCATCCTTGACAAGGAATTCAGCATTACTATCAAAATTTTGAGAGGGGAAACTGAGGCACAGATATAGAAAGACTTATTAAATCCAGCTTTTGTGCTGTCCTTCATCCTCCTCTAATCTTTAAAACATCAGAAGCTTCCTCACTCATTAGCATTAGAGCCCCTCTGGGAAAGCCAGAATGTGCTGACAGCACAAACTACAGGAAAGCCAGTCAATGGGATGACAAAATGTAGGGACAAAAATTAAGTGCTTGATGAAGGTGCAGAAATTACAGTGGGAGACTTGAAAAGGCAAGGGAAGAAGCAGAGGGCAGGGAAGAAGGGAAGGACAGCGATGGGAGGCAGAGGGGATGCTCCAAGGCACTTCATGCTGACAATGGAACTTGCATTCAGAGCAGTGACTGATCAGAACATGTTCCAAAATCTGCATGTTTGCAGAGGGAAGAAAAAAGCATCTGTGATGAACAGCACGGTCACGACACAATTCCAGACTCCATCTTTCATTCCCATAGGGCTACAGGGAACACTTTTAAAAGATTTACTGCCATTCCACCTGTCAGGCAACACGACATGCTTTGCAGCTCTGCTCCAGACACATGATATTAAGAGCACTGATCAGTCCTTCCAGTACCCGGAAAGTATTTTGCTGTCTTGGATACTGGCAGAACAAACCTCAACTCGGTTTTTTGGTTAATAAAATCTACAAGACTTCATGAAGATTTAATATTAAAGCAGCTGATGGTTAAGAGCAAATAAAACGGACAAATCCAGCCCTCTAATTATACGGTATTTGAGCCTTGCTTAAATATGGTGCAACAGATTAAATTTTTAATTCTTTCAAAGTCACAAGCACGGGAGAGAATCTTTGAGGGCGATCAGGAGCTGAGTGACGCCGGCTCCTTCTCTGATCGCCGCACCACGGCGAGGTTCAGCAGCTGCTCCCGAGGAAGAGCCTTGTTTCCTCGGAGCAGCGCTTAGAGGTGCTGACCATGTAGGTGTAAATACATCTGTCTTTTGCCATTTGCAGTAATACATGCCTCCTCCACTTCTCCCAGCGAGGCAGATGGTCCCTGTCCTGTCGAAATCTTACACTGCACAGACTTCCAGTGCTATGTGTTTGCAGAAATATGAGGGCAGATGTTAAATATGTTAAACACACGCTTTGCCCCCTGGAGGTTTAAGTTAAGGCTGCTGTCTCAATTTGGTCATTTTAGGCATGCCAGGCTTCTCGGATCCTAGGCATTCCTCTTAAATCCCTGCTTTATAAATAACAGCTTTTCATGTTAATTTTGTGTACTTTCATCAAATATTTTGGATGCAGAACAAATGAAGGAAGCTCTCGGCTTACCGTTACAAGGCTACGTGGGCTGTGCTGAAAATTATGATCCTCATTCATGAAAACTCTATTTACACAGCAGGGTATTTCCCATGACTGTTGTTTTCCCCCCTTACATAAGCCTCATTGAGCATTTTAAATTTAATTAGTTTTAAAAATTACATAAAATGGAACAGAGACAGTTTGTGAATAGCATAATCTACCATAAAACTACAAATATGAGCACTCCAAAAATGTTTTAGATGTTTAAGAATAAAACATTAAATAAAATACTGCAGACCTATTACAATTGCAATAATTTTAGAAAGGTTTCTTGGTATAACACAGCATTAAGGAAACCTTTGTAAAAAGTTTCACATTAAATACAACTGCAAACCAAGAGATTTTTTTCCAAATACTTCCCCTCACTGCTCCTATTACCTACCTCCCCTGGAAGTCCCTCAGGTAAATTTTTAATTTCTTTCTCTGCCGTGTCCCACCTGGTTCTAAGTGTCTATTCCAGTTTTGGGAGCCCACATTTATATTTGTGTCCTTCACTGGCCGTATTCTTCAAGTCAGGTTTTTTGTATTTCCCCTCTTTGAGGAACTGTGACCCCCTGCCCTGTGACAACCTCCCCCTGACCCCACCTCCCTTCCCGTCCTCATCCAGGATCACACATGAATACGCTTCCAAAATTCACCTGAGCAGCAGCAAAACTTTTTTCACTCAGCTTAAACTGAGCAGAAAACTAAAAAGGCAAAAATAAGCAACTGAACTGTGTCTGTGGAGGAAGCTAAACCTCAACGTGACCCTCCAAGTGTTTCTTCACTGTTTCTTAAATTCCATTTACAATTATCTGTGAAGTTCAGGAATTGCTCTCGGTGCTGGGGGCAGCTGCGTGTCTGTGGCTCACGTTTGGCTCCGAGAGCGCTGTGAAATTCCCGTTTCACGGCAAGGGCAGGAAAGGATTGCTGGACAGACACGTGCACAGCCCAGCTCCTGCCTGCCAGCACTCCCAGCCACTGCACCCAGCCCCAAGAGATTTTACAGCACGTCCACAAATACGGGAATTACACAAGGGGAGAGGAAATACCCATCAGCTCTCGCCTGAAAAATAATTCCCAATTGATGAAACACAAGGGAAAATTCACCTCGCGAGCAGGGCTTGAGCAAGAAAGCACCAAAGCAAGGGAGGCAGTGCCTGTGTTTGCCAAAATGCAGGAAAAGGTTAGGAAGCTGGAGGACTTGCAGTTGTTTTATCCAACCACATGCCATGCTTGGATCTACTTTCCTTAAAAATATAAAAGCCCTCTGAAAACTAACAGATCAATCATATTTTTAACTGGAAAATATTCAGGAAATCAAACAACCAGAAAATGAGAAAGGAAAAATATAATCATCACCCTGTAGCTTTAATTATAATGAAAGAATATTTAAAGTTTAGCAAGAGAAAAATGTCAGCTGTTGGACAGTATTAATTAATTTAAAATTGCTGTGGTTTATGGAGCTCATAAAATCTTATAATATATATATTTAGAGAAGCTTTTCCCAAGAAATACTTTGAAGTGCATTATCATGGCACATAAGAAGTACCAAAGTGCAGCTGACTCTGGAGTGGAAATCCACCCAGTCCAGAACAGTACAACAGAGGAAAAATAAGGTCAAGAAAACAGAGGGATTAAGTTTTGCCTTTCTGCTGAACCTGGCTTACTGTCTTTCTAGTTCTGATGGTCAAAAATCGTTTCTGCTTGAAAAGGTTGGAAACCAAAATAAACAAACTTGGGAAAAAAAGTAAAGCCATATTTTATTCTGATTGAATACAGCTCTGCTTACGTTTCATTCCAATTCCTGGTGTGAAAATGTCTCCTGACCCACTCAAATGAATATTCCTGAATTTACAGAGGTCTGTTTTCAGGCTGTATTTATTTATCTGATGCTTTCAGTCTCCTCTTCCTCCCACCCCTCTTCTGCTGCTATTAAATGACACACACTGCAATTAAAATATAGACTAAAACTAATTCTCACTAATAACACAAATGATTTCCACATGAATCATAAAGGTTGAGGAAGGTTTGTGCCACTTACCCTGTGCGTTTGGTGATGGTCCCTAATGTCATTGGCTGCTTGATTTGAGCAAGAGGCAACACCACAGTCAAACTTGGGAGAGGCAGGAGTCGAGGATTGCCAGGATTGTTGTTTGTGAAGTTATTGTAAGTGTCTTGGCTGTTCAATTTACCTTGATGGGATAGAGATGCAATAAAACACATTACTGAATTTTTTTCTTCATTTATCATTTCTACATGTGCTTGAAATAGGATAAAAAAGACAAAAAACCCCACAAAAAAACCACAAACAAGCTGTTGTTATAGTAAAAGAAAAAATCTAAAAAAATAATCTTCATTTCAGATAAAGAATAAATTACAATGGAAGAAGCAATTACTAATTTTACATATGGGGATAAAGAAGAATTCCTTTCCATGCAAGGGAAATTATTCCTGCTGCTGCTGCTGCTTGCCTGGCAGTTTTGTTCACCGAAAAGTTTTCGAGTTCGATTTGGAGGACAAGCTCTGGATTCCAATTCTCTATTTAAAAAAAAAAAGGAGTAGCTAGAAGGGAATTATTTTCCTAAAGTACCACATACAGTGTTGGTAATTGGAAGTCCTGAAAAGGTCGCTTTTGTTGTCTCGACGGATAAAGACATACAGAATAATCATCTGCAGAACTAAGGCTGCAGGGAAATATCAAGTAACTATGTCAAATAAAGCCACGCCAAACTAGATGTAAAAATCAAAAAAGTATCAAAAAAGGAACAAATTTCATATTCATTCAAAAAAGATGAAAATGAAACACAGGTACTGAAAAAAAGGAAAGGGAAAACATAACAAAAAAGCCCTCAACAACCCTAAATTTAGCTGATTTCAAAGAGGTCTGTGCTGGATGAACGCCCAGTTTGGATACGCTTTCTTACTCGCTGTATCACTCTGTAGTCACAACCTTTCATTCTTCAGTTGGAAAAGGAAACTAGCTCCAAATTTCATGGACAGTAAAGAAAGAAATGTGAAGAAACCAAAGAAAGAAGTTAAACAAAAAAAGGGGCCAGTCTGTTTATAGCAGAATCAAAAGTACTTTAAATAGACAAGCAACCATGAATTAAAAGGTTTAGATCATTAACTTGTTTTTCTGTGTTCCTATAATGCTGTGAAACGCTGGCTTTGTTCTTAATCAAAAGGGAACCATATTGGGAATTAGGTTCCTAAACAACCGATGCATTCTACACAGATATTATACAAATCCCAGGCCAAATCCATACAATCTGCCTCAAGAGCAGCCACCTTTTTTCAAGGAAGAAAAACAGCACAGCAAAGGGTTTCTCACAGGAAGCTGCCTGAAAAGCTTTAATGGTACTTCAGATGGACTGAAAATAGGAAAAGGAAGGCGGTAAAATCTTAATGAATGTCTCATCATCCTAAAGACACTCAATGCTTCCTTCACCCTTCTTTTAATACTATATAACTGTAAGCTTGGGGGTTTTATTTGGGTTTTTCTGCAGAGCCCCCAGACCTCTGCATCTCAGAGAAGCACAATAAGAGAAATGATGAAATTACAAAGTGTATTTTGTGATAAGTATCTGGCCTGAGCATCCATCAATACATTTTAAGAGAAATAGAAAGGCTTTAATGAAGAACAAGCCTATTGAAGTTCCCAGGGAGCAGATTTCATTAATAGCAATTTTCCTCTACCAACTTGGAATACAAAGAAAAAGGAAAAAAAAAAAAAAAAAAAAGCTCAGTTTTAAATAAGACTGAGATGCAATTAATTTTTTAAAATTAGTTTAATAAGGCATTTTTGGTTTTTTCAGGAAGGCATATGAATAGTTTTGTGCATTATTGTCTAATTAGTCACTGTTCCTGCAACCAAGGCCTCTCTGGAAGTGTTTCCCTCTCCCATATTCCCCTGGACCCACATGGGCACAGCAAACACTGACTCCAAAGGGGGCTCCAAATGTCTGTAATTTGTTTTCTATCACTTGTTCAGAATCTAATGATTAACTCTGAACTACTGATCCACAGGCTGGGTTGGAACAGTCCCCTCTCCCCTCTCAAGGCACATTTCATGTCTCAGTGCCCCTGCTCCCAGCTTCATGTGGTTTTCCATATGCAAAGCCCTCAGCTGATTCAATGGATTATTTGCATGCAAAGAAATGAGGAATTTACATCGTCCTGCCTACACAAGGATGAGCTGCTTTGCTTCCACACAAGTTGGGGACTCCCACAGCAGTTAAGGATACTTAGAAAACTGCAAGATTATCTCATCCCTTCAGAGGTTTTTATTAATTGTAGGAACAACATCTTACAAATTCTTAGGCTCATACATAAGGAAACATAATTAAACCCCCCAAAAAAGTACTAAACAATAAAAAACGAATGAAAATGTTTAAAAGATATTCTGAAAGGGACTAAAATATAAGATGATTGTTCTTTGAGAAAGAAACCAAAAAACATCGGGAGGTCAAGCATTAAATTTATAACTATGTATTTGGAAGTATATCTAAATCTGATGTATACAAACCTCAATAAAAAATTAACTAAGCCAGACCTCAAAACATGCAGCACTTCACAGCACAAACATGATAAAAAAATTCTGCTGTGACAAATGGAAAAGCTGTAAATACCAAACATATGTCACAATAACCATTGCCTGCCAACCTGCATTTTCTGCTGCAACAGTCAGTTGCTTCACTGCAAAAATTGTAATTAAAAGTGATACTAGTCAAAAATTAAAAGTTGGAATGCTACAAAGAGGAGAGAAATTATTTTTGACAGGAAAGTTGTTCTTGTAAATCTGACTACAATAGTATTAAGATGGTGGGGATGATTAAGGTTAAAGAAAACTCTAATTTTCTGGTGTGCTGGTGCACCCATCCAGGAATCCCAAAAATTACCCTTCCATTCCTCCAGCCCTTCCAATAGGAAACTCCGGTAGCAAACAGGAGTTTGTGTGCACAGGGCAGTCAGATCGGGCCAAAAGAGCACAAAGAATGCAGTCAAGCATCAACATTATTTCTACAGCTCAAGTTGTTGTTGATTCACTGTCAAAGGACAAGCAACAAATAAGCCAAAGTTGAAGTTGGGTAGAAATAGCCAGTTTTTTTCACCCAGCAGAATGCTGAACTCAAGTTACCTCCTGACATGTGGACAGTGCATTTAACTGTAAATGGTTGGAGACCGACACACACAGATCTCATCCTAGAGACTGCTCCAGGAATGCTTTTATTGCAATCAATCATCACCATCACAATTCCAGGGCAAACGTGTCCTCTCAAGGATCATTTCCAGTGGAGCATCCTGAGCAAGGAGGCACTGTCCCTTGGTAATCACCCAGAGCCCTCAGGACCCTGTGCAAGGCATGGGGTCAAGTATTTGTCTTTCCATGGGCTGCCATAGAGGAGATTTCCATACAGAGCTGTGCATGGGATACATTAAAGCCAGTCTAGGCTGGTAAATCTCTTACAAATTTTACTAAGGGACTTCCAAAAAGCTGGGGACGCCATGGCTCTGGAGTCAGACAATTTTATTTGCAAGTGCAGCCTTATGTTGGGCAAACATTGCCTACTGAGACACGGAAAACCCAATCCATTGGTTTTGAACCTGTTTGCTGAGAGTCTGCAAAACCACCAGCATCTCATCCCCCCAAAACCTGAGCCACTCTTTTCCAGACGTTTTATTCCACTGACACTCAAAGGAGAAACGGATTAAACAGAGGATAAAAGTGAAGAAAGAAAACAACAATGGGCTTTGTTGTGAGAGGGAGGGAGCGGCCGCCGGGCCGAGCTGTATTCCCAAACCGGCCATCACTGACAGACTCACTTCCACCCAGCAAAAAAGGGAGGCCTGCAAGTGCCGGACAAAAGAAATCCCAGCAGACAAAGAAAAAACAAATTAAAAGCACCATTATAAAATACAGATGCTATAAGGAAAATAAACTCCACAAGATTTAGTGGGTTTTGACAAAGCTGGACATCTGTGGAAAAGCCATCAGGAGCAGCTCCCAGTTACAGCCGGACAGGCTCGGGGTCCCACGGCATCGCTTCTCTCCTCAACCCCTGGGCAGAGACACCCTCAGCTCTCCACAAACCTCCAATGGTAAATCTGCAAGTTACTCTTTAGGCCTGAATATGAGACTACAACATTTGATCAACTCTCACTTTATGAAGTTTTCAATCTGTATGTTTGGATAAGAGAGGAAAGGTACATCAAGGGGAAAACATCCAAGACTTGCAAGCTTGTAACATTGTTCAAAAAGCAATCAATCAACTGAAAGCAATTAATACAGTTACTTGTCCTCTTCTGATCAACTAAGAGCCTTGATGAATTCAGGCCAGATTTCAAATTGTTTGAACGTAGCACTTGAGGGCACTGCTGTCAGAGATCATCTCTGAGGAGAGAGGAGGAGAAACACCCTAATTTTTGGCACTACTAATGACACAATTAGACATCCAAATGCAGCTTGGTAGGGACATTCCCCAGCCCCAAGGATTGCACTCACCAGCAACTGTGGCAAAAAGACTTCATAGGATCCTGAAAGAATGATGTGGAGGAAGCCCCTGCCACTGCTCTTTAGTCCAAACACAGCATGGAACCAAATCACTTCTTATCTGATTTCAAATGAGTTTGAAACTATCAGTATCATAGATCCCATTTGTGCATGGAAATGGAACTCCTAAATCACAGCCATGCTTAAAACCAAAACTACACCCTCACACCAACTTATCAACAAACTGATATTAAACCCTTTTACCCATTAGATTTCAGCATGTGTATGACATGTCTCCAAGTGCTGCAGTATTTTCTTTGGTGCAAACTGTCAGCGAGCAAAGCAAAGAGGACTTGGCCCAGACATTTTTTTCTGGTAGGAAAGTAATGATCAGAAGGATTTTAGCTTCTCTATACACTTTATTTGAAAAACTAAAGTGGTATCAAGCACCTCTCAGCCTTACAATAAAATGCTTCCATGTTGATTTTTTCCATTTTTCTTCCATTACTCCAATACAAAAAGCTTAGTAATGCAGTGTCATTAAAATTCAAACCCTACTTGATTAGCTTTTATATCTTCCAGTATTTAACAGACTCCATTTCAAAGGGTACCACAAAGTCTACTGACATTAACACTACATATAAACATCTATAATTTGGTAAATAAAAATGCAGTAACTCCAGGCTATGCAATCATGTGGAG